ACACAGCGTCAGCAACTTTTGCAAATCGGCCTTCGAAGCGGAACTATCTGACCGTTTCTCAGCTCAACCATCAGCCGGAGGACGCACTGAACAATGGCCGGCCATCAGGGAAGCGATCAAGAAAAAACGATGGATCTTCCCGATCTCGGTTGCTTTGCTGGACGCTCGCAAAGCCATTCCTTCGGATTCGAAATACTACGAAGCGCGAAAATCCCTTAAACACCAGCTCATCAAGAGTCTGAGGAATGGCCGCGATAAGTGGTGGGTAGGAAAGTGTAGAGACGGAGAAGGTTGCGGATATCGGTAATGGTCGGAATCTTTTCCGATTAATTAGGAGTACAGGTCCAAGGAAAGCAGGCGTGAGGTAATTAAGGAGACCGACGGCACACTTATTCACAGTCAGCAACACCATCTAGATCGATGGGTAGAACATTTCAAGGCTCAGTTCTGCTGGCCCTCGTCAGCAAGACCTCCATATACCCGGTTCAACTGTGCAAATACTGCCATTTGACATCAGTCCTCCATCTGTAATGGACGTTACCTGAGAAATAAATTATCTCAAAAGGTATAAGGCTTCCGGGCTGACCCCATCAGTTTTTAGGGATGGAGGATCAGCCTAGGTTTTGGAGTAAACGTAACTCCAGGGCTTTATATGGAAAAGGGAACAGGTTCCAACTGAATGGTGTAAATCGGTGATCATACCGATTTACAAGGAGGGTGACAGGTCCTCCTGTGAAAACCACAGTTTAATCAACATCGTCTCTAAACTTCTAGCTTGTATTATACTTCGTCAAAGTGCCGGTAGACTTACAGAAGGCGCGGTTAGTATTGGCCAACACGAAACATCTGTGCCGACATCGGGCCGTCCGTGAAGGCTCGAGTGTATACTGCAGCAGTTCGTTCAGTGCTACTATACGGTACAGGAACAGGATAAAAATAGATGGTCGATGTCTACTTCGCATTGCACCAGTTTTGTGGGGTATAAGGGGGATGCAAATATTAAGCGTAAAGTTTTTTGGTAATCATGGCCGTCCAGTGGAGCAAGTAGTCGACCTTCGTAGATTACGCTGGTTGGGACATGTGCTGCGCATGTCACCAAATAGGTGGCCGAGGCAGGTAGCGAACGGAAAAAGATCAAGGGTGGTCGAATTAAAACCTGGCATGAGGGNGCCGAGGCAGGTAGCGAACGGAAAAAGATCAAGGGTGGTCGAATTAAAACCTGGCATGAGGGTGGAATACCCTAACGAAGACACTAAGTCACGTAGATTCCCCGAGATCTTGGTCTCCGGTGATTTTACAAGCTGAGTAACGGAAACAGTGGCACTTATGCATCTACTCATTATTCTTGCAACCTCGGTTTATATGAACTGTCTATCGTTCGCTTGAATTTACTTTCTTCATTCTGCTCTTTTATTCAAATGGGCGGCTAAAAAGCAGCAACCGAAGCCGATATATGACATTGCATGGTCAATGGTTGTAAAAACTGATCAAAACCCTAAAAGTTCTTTCTGTAAATGTTTCTTTTCCGAAACACTGGCTCCGATCAACGTTTTTAATATAGACATGGAGTATGTTATCTGGAATTAGACCACTTCATCTACGTTCATCTGACTTCTTTATTTTTCTAATACCACCCATTGGTTATCAAGCACAGTCATTCTTTTGGATAAGTCGAACAGCTCTGTTTGGAACTTAGTAATCAAAGACGCACGTGAATCTACCAGCGCATTTCTGTCGCGATTAAAGTATAGTTCTTTCTTCAACGGATGAGATGATAATTCTGTGGTAATTAAGTTACTCTCTTAAGCTTATCGCACTGTCCTATATAATCAAGTGATTTATTTCTCCACTTCAGTGGATTTGAGCGTACGAATTTTTATTTCTGATATTTGCAATCGTGGTGTAATAGCTTTTATAACTGAACTCATGTAGACTCTTGTGACACGACTCGGGTGACCAGTTCGAACGGTAGTTTCATACATGAGTTTTTAAATACAGCTCCAGATGGTAAGCCTTTTTGGAATCATGTTCTGTTTCCTCAAGCTGTTGCGTAACACAGTGAAAGGGGATTTATCACACCATCGGATGGGTATGGGTTGGCCTCGCGTTCTGATTATTGTAAGGTCGCATCTAGTTTTTTTTAAGCGATGGGGTTAGCGGAAATAATTTGAACGTAAAATTTCAAGTTTGGATTAGCTGATTCAATTCCATCGGTATTAGGACATCGTGCATGGTTTCCCTCCGTTTCCGGATTAGTCTGAAGCCCATAAATTTCATTTATTCCCTCGCATGTCATGATATACTTCATTCGCGATAGAAATTTTCGTATAACGCCAAACGAAACACTAGGCAGTTATGCACTTCTTGCCGGGACTCATTAGCATTGCATGGAACTAGAAGCGCGAACTTTGGGCCGCAAACTTAGTGTCCACACGGACGAAGCAGCCATCCAGCAATCGCACAAAAATTTCCAACGAGAATCGAATGCATCCATATTCCTGTTTACTTTGAATATTATTGATAAGAATATTCTATCTCTTTTTGTGCGAGACAGGCGATTGTACATTTTTATTTCATGAGGAGAAAGGAACCTATCAGTTAGGGTTGCCATCGAATAGAGATAAGTGATCACGACATCACGCGATTGCAAGATAGGCAAATAGAAGCATTGAAGGGTCGGAATCGGAATGGATGTAGTATTCGGGACCGTATTCACTGCCAGTGCATATTTGTGGCTGTCGGCTTTTTCGTCACTGATGCGAAAAGATAAATTAAGTTTCGACGGAAAATTCGTAGTTGGATCCAAACGTTTATAGTATATGATTGGGAATCATTTTTCTATCTATTCTTGATTTATTTTTCTCATTCATCCAGTCCCTCCGTGCTGTAAACCTGTTTGTCTTGGCTGTTTTGCCCGGTGTTCTCATCAAGAAAAACGTGTACGCGTGCGTTGTGTACGGAAACGATCCCGAAGAAAATTGATAAATCTATGTCAGGTGCGCATTCGTTGTCTTCCAAACATATTTCTTTCACAAAGACCGTCCAATGCCGACTATGCAAAGCACGATTTGTGACCAAGGGCTACACCCCCTCTGAGTATACTGAGTGAGTTGCTACCGAATCACGTAGAACGTGATACCGCTATTCGTTTGGTTTAATTTGTTTCTCGCTTCTTTGCTTCAGCATCTCTGTAAATTCAACCAAGCCCGTGGCTACTGCAAGTGAATCTGATGTCTCTGTGATTTCGAGGTGGGAATTTCAGTTCGTTCGGTCACACTTTGATTGCAGGAAATTAAAAAAGAAAGTGCGCAAAGAACGACTTTCCTTGTATAGAAAAGAGTCCTCGGGAAATACAAGCACACTAAAACAAACAAAACCAGCCCTACAAGGTTTCCTCAGTTTGTTAAGCTGAATTATACAAATACACTTAATGGCCTTTCCTTTTTCCATCATTATCTGGTTGTATCAGAAGCCGTAATGTCCAGTTATTACACTATTACAGATATGACGTCACCACTGACAAAGTCTATGATCCGCCAACGTATGAAGACCATACTTCGAACTTTGCCACCCCTATTGATGTCACGGAAATCTGATCAGCTCGTTCACCAGGTGGGGAGAAGTTACTTATGAATTGCTCTTGTTCGCGTGTTATATCACTTCTGTAGATATACTTGCGATGATTAGTTTTTGTGATGCAACAAACAAGCCGAAACAACTGCCGGAGGAAACATCGGGACCACAGATCCGACTTATCAATAAATCACCATTCTGAAATGAGAGTAAACAGTTGAGTGATCTTGCGCCTGAAAATGTTAATCTCCAATCTACGCATAACACATGGTTCAGGTGTCCGTCACCATATCATGAGCTGCATGAACTATATGGTTTTCTGACATCCTCCTTCCTTTTCGATTACATTTGATCGTAGTTATTAGTTATTATCGCTCTTTGGTTTGTCGCGTAATGAAACCAATTTACCTATCAACCGAAAATCCATATTTTTTTATTTTTCGTCACTGTGAAAGCAAGCACATTATAACTGCATCTGTTTGTCATGTACGCCTCTGTAATTCAGAGGAACTTCAGCCTGATTCCAATGCAGCTTTATTTTTGACGGTTGATTGTTGGAGTATCGTAGTCCTTACATCTTCGATGACTATGTTCGGCCCAACACAGGTCCCGAATTGCAGGTTGGTTGTGGTGTAATTTTTTTTGAAGGAAGAGGCAGTTGCTCCTGTCACATCACAACTATGAACTTTGGTGATGCTAGATACGGGATGCGACTGCAATTGTGGCCATCATCGGCCAAAATCTTAGGTTCAAACCCCATCGATACCCGGTGCCGATGATCAAGGACTTCGGTTATCCAGTTTAATAGGTGGTCCATGCCAGATTTTTTCAGCCTCGTTTTACACCACCCCAGGGTCCAGTGCTTAGACCTAGGTCCTCTTGATTTCAAGTTTCATCTCCGCTACTGTATTACCAAGATAGTTGGTAAAAATAGTGGTGATTTTAATCTTAATTTTTTGCACTTTCAATAGATATATTTCCTAGCTTTTCCAATCTTTTATTACATGAGCAAATGGTGTTAGTTTTGTCAAACACATGAACTACTTATTTACTCTCTCAGGTGTTGCAAACGACGGAATTTCGAGATGGCAATAGTTTATGTGTGTACCTTAATATGCCGACCGAACCTGCCACAATGCAACTCATCCGTCACTCCCTATCACTGAACAAGAAAGTTTATGTCCCCCAAGTTATCCCAGACTCACTATTGATCAACTGTTCCACGAGTATGCGAATGTGCCGGTTGAGTACTATGGATGAGTTGGCTCAATGGCCCACTAACAAATGGGGAATTAAAGAACCATCTTTGCCTTTGGATGAAAAGACCATTAAGGATGAAGCAACCGAGGATGGTGAGTGATTCTGTAAGTTTCTTGGTAGTAATCTAACTTTTGATGGCTGCACCAGATACAGTGGAACACGTTTTCCCGTGGATTTAATTCTCAAGCACCTGAGATAGGATACCACTGCAACAATTGGGTGGCGGTGGCGCAGTGGTTTAGTCCCTCTCACCGGCGTGCTTTAGTTCGAAGCCCACCCCCCGACTTTGTTGGTGCGCAGCTCTGCTGTCGTCCGGTTCAATATCACGCCTAACCTATCAGGGCCTTATATGGTTCACCACTCCAAGTCCCGGGGCTTAGATTTCCGGTTTCCACCACTAAAAACAGCAGGTCCTCCTGACTATGGGGTTCGCCCCGTCTGCCCTTCATCACACTTAGGTGTGTAATAAAAAAAACAGAGCAAGTACTGATCTTCGTCCCATTGTTAGTTTCTCTCCCAGTGACCCGTTTTCAATGTGTGATTCGTAACACATATATATATATATCATTATATTAAAACTACGCAAATACCCAAATGATTCAGTTTAACAACATTCCGATTCGTGATGTGCGCGGAGTTTTGTTTTTGCATCAGGTGCACTACGCAGCTGCAGTTCAGTGCCACACCCAATTTACCTATTTTATTGCGGTCCGTTCTTAGTCTGAGCTAATATCACAGTTGCCTAAGATTCATGCTGCTTTGTCTAGTAAACAAAGTTATCGAGAAGTATAGCACCTGGATCAGGGCAACTATAGCGAGTGGCATGAACGGAAACTGCAATGCAGTATACAGCATCCGGAGATGGTATGAGCCCCCGTTGCTTGTTTTTGCAAATGTTCAATCTTGAAGCGCTTTACTCCCCGGGGCATGCTTGCATCTCACTCGCGATAGCTACTGCTCAGTAAGACAATCTCCGTACGTGTTTTTGCATTAACTGTTTCTTTAGCCCCTCCCCATTTTCTCTGAATTTTCTGTTAGTCAGCTTTAGCCTAACATTCCTTTGAATCGGCATAGATCTTTCATGCTAGTTTCCTCGATTTATTCACCATCGACTCATTTCATTGCTACAAGATGGCCANTTTCCAATTTCCGGATTTCACGAAACAGCAAACCGCGTTTGTTGAGATGTATCGGGGAGCACATCTTCCGTGGTGCAAAATACAGACTAACCTCGTAGTAACGTAAACCAGCAGCTGAGTACTCTTGGAATTTGAGTACCGTGTCACACCGCTTTGGATGACAGCTGTCCCTCACTGGAAGCCGCTTGCACNCGTCCGACACACGTCGGTTGTTTTATTGAAGCAAAATTTCCCGATTTCTTTTATTTGCATCGGATTTCAGGTGCACAAGTTCTTGTGTTACTATTTTTCCGAAAATCGTCTGGCTTAGGCGACCATATGGTACAATTTCAACATTCGACTGAAATAAATTGTATTGTTCCATTCGATTTGGCGTACACGCCTTCAACTGAAATAACCCGCTGTATATTAGTCGGGAAACCGCAGCATTAGTCTTACAATCTCCTCTCGTATCATAAAACAGTAAACAGCTATGATTGACGCACGATTTTAAGTGCAAACCATTCCCCTAATTTATTATTTAAATGAAAGTTAACAACTTTTTGTCTAATCTTTCAACACAGGTGGACTGGACTTGGTAATTGTTCCCGGATTAGCATTCACCATGAATGGTCATCGTCTCGGGCGCGGAGGTGGCTATTATGACAGGTACTTGAATTGGTATCGGAAAGTTGCAACTGAACGGAAATTGAAGTTCCCATTGCTTGTGGCCATGGCATTTTGTGAACAAATATTAGAAGACCTCCCAATGGAGCCTCATGATAACAAAATGGATCGTGTAATCACAGCATGAATCTGATCAATACTGTTGCCTGTTAATTCTTTGGCGCGGAGGAAATATTGTTGATCATCCCCTTTCGAAATTCGGAATGTTAGTACAGAATATATATATATATATATATATATATATATATATATATATATATATANTGTCGGTGTACGCTTCATTCCCGTACCTGAACTGGTGGTACCAGTCAGGTTGGTCTTCCAATATATATATATATATATATATATATATATATATTGGAAGACCAACCTGACTGGTACCACCAGTTCAGGTACGGGAATGAAGCGTACACCGACAGTCCGCAGATGTCTATGCATGCCTCTCGGAGGTCGGTAGCCTCACATGTTAATCCTCTTCTCTTGGAACGCACAGAAACTCGATGAACTGTGACCTTTTCTGCTCTAGTTTTGAATGCATTGATTAAAAACTTTAACCGGGTACAAAGGACTGTTTTTTCATCGGAAGTTGATCCTTTGGGGGTAAATGAATTACAGTATCAACCAATGTCTTCGTAGCTTTTTTGCAGAATTTCCAAAGGGGAAACTTTTGTTATTCATTGTAAACGTATCTATCCAGTGCCAAACTATTTATTTCTCACAAAAGCGACTTCTGTCTCAATACCCTTTGATAAAACCATTTCATAGGTAATATGAGGCTATTGAGTGAAATATATTGTCTTTGTACATTACAAAGACCAATGGCTTAGCAGAACAGAACTGCCTTGGCATAATACGACTTTGCCCACATTTTTATAACACAAGTTAGTGCAGTGAACAAGAGGCAAACCCTATAATCAGAAGGACCCTAGTTGTGAAACCGGTGGCCCAAGCATTCGAAATAGTTGTGGAATTCCATCAGGTGTTTAATGCTGCGCCAGGAATGCGAGTCACAGTATCACCAGTTTTCAACCTCCCCGTCATGAACAAATTATAGTAAAAATCAACTGTATTTGTCCACTAAGAGAACATACAAAACAGCTCGACAAGTCATTACGTCCGGTCAATCTGAGAAGAGAACACCAACTGAATCGGCGAGTCAAGAATGTTAAAATGACTTACCTGTATAAATGGCTGCAACCGATAGAACGAAACAGGCCAATTCACAACGAAAATGGGAAATAGCCATTCGTTCAAGCTCATTTGCCGCAATTGTATTCGAATCACCCTCGAGATGAATCATGATTTTACTACAAGAGAAATATCGTAAACGCGTTACTCGTATATCATCATTACTGTAAGGCGTAACACAGTGAAACGAACTCCGCTGATCGACGCCGAGCTCACGATACGTACTAATTTAGCATGAATATTTAAGATGGACAGAGATTGGGCCTACTTTCAGGAAGGGAAAAAACAATGAGTCCCACTAGCCAATACACAAAGTACACAATCTAACTGCATATGCACCTACTCAAGCAAAATGGCCTGAGAAGAAAAATTGTAACATGAGCAAAACTGCTGTAGGTTCGCCACCATATCCCTCAGTGTCTCTGGTCAACCGGTTGCAGTCTTTTGGAAGGCGAGAAACACCTAATCTACCCAGTAGCTCCATGTATTTCTTCTGGCCTTCTTTCCACATCATCTGTTGACCTTCGTGTGGTTTTATCCAATCTGGAACGGCTACTGCAAATAAGGCGCGGCGTGGTGGCGACCGTTAGATGGACGCAAAACGCGAAGCCTATTGAGCTGAAATCAATGCGATAGCGAGGTTTTTGATGAATTTATAAACAAATCATATATTCATAAACACCAACTTATCCTGATGACAACAAAATGGAGTTAAAAACAGGATATAGGTGAGTACAAAACAACGTATTGTAGTACAATCTGGATTTTATCTGGAAGCGACAGAAAGTTCAGAAGATTTGTAGTTTGAGGTTTTGCTTGGGTCAACCAAAGCAATACAGTTATGTAATACAACGAAAGATGCCCATCTTCAGTCTTCAATCACACTGCATAGGCGAATATGACAAGGAAGCACCCACGTTTTGTTCTGTTGCTAATGACCCACAGTAAACCATTGAGACGTATTGCGCATAATCGGCTACCGACTCAAAGCTAGTCGGAAAGCCAGCTCTTGGTCTTGACACCTGGCTCGATCCCGACGTCGGCAACACCGCGAGCACCGGATGCCAAATCGTCTGACACGGTGAGTGAAGTGTGAAGATGATGTTGGGTCTAAAGAATGTAGTGTTTTAATTGAAGTAGGGTCTTGTTTGCCGTTTTTATTACACAATATGAATTACAGTAAACGGGGAAATCCCCATGGACAAATAGCATACTGAAAAGGGGATAGTAGGGGAACATTCACGTAAGATTCCGTTTATTGATTCTGCGTTGAAAAAGTGTAAGATTGTAAGTTGGGGGAAAAACAAGGAGGAGGGTGTTCCACAGCCTGGCAGTTCGGGGGGAAAAGAAGATTGGAGTAGAGAGGTACGACACCTGGGAACAGAAACCTGATAAAGATAACTGGATTCCTGTGTACGGGATGGGCGGGTAAAAGTTGCAGGAAAAGGAACTGCCGAGGCAAGTTCCGAAGAACAGGGACAATGAAGCAACTGCTCGACGATGGGCTAGCGACTGTAGACTGGACGTTAGAGAAGGCTCATCGATTAACCGGATGGCTTTTCGTTGAACACGATCAAGAAGGGAAGAGGACGAAGCCCCACCCCACACGTGACTACAGTATTCAAGAGCAGGGCAGATTTGAGCTTTGTACAATAGATGAGCTGGTGTGGAAAAACGCCCGCCGCGAAATAGAAATCCAACCTTACCCGCAGCACGAGAAGCAAGCTTAGTTATAAAAGAGGACCAGCATAAAGAAGTTATAGGCAATCCAAGAAGGAAAACAGTTGGGTGGAATTAAAGGATAAATGGGAGGGGACAATGAATGGTGTTTTAAAGAAATTGAGAGGTTTTAGAACTATTGAATGAAACATGGTTTGCAATTCCCCAGGAGATGTGTCCGAGATCGGAGTCCAGTGACACATTAACTGTACTGCGGTCACCACCGACGCTGGTTTGGGCATGGTGAACAATGCGGTAGGAGAGGGAGCAATGGAGGGTGGCGTCATCAGCAAAAGAATGGATTGGGTGAGTAGTTTGGGAAAGGAGATCATTGATAAATAGAAGAGGGTGGGCGCAAATACTGAACCTTGGGGAACGCCAGCGTTCACAGGGAATGGCTGAGATAGAACCTCATCCGCTCGGACAGAGATGGCTCGCATACTGAGAAAACTTGATATCCACGCTACGAGCGCTGGAGGGAACCCGAACATGGGTAGTTTCGCCAGTAGACTTTCGTGCCAAACTCGGTCTTTGAGATGTCAAGCGAGACCAAGTGTTTCCCCGTGGTTACCGAGTGTAGCTGACCAGAATTGTGAGACAAGAGCCAGGTCATCGGTGAAACGACGCGGTCAAAAGCCATACTGGCGGTCACTCAGTGGTCCTTCACGTTCAAGGAACGTGCGTAGATGGTCAGAAACGATAGTTTCAAATACTTTCCAGTGCGGTAGGTAGCAATAAATGGGCTACTGCTCAGACATCCCAACCTTTGTTCAACTCTGTCTTCCGTACCCAACCCTTCATTTACCCCTTCTTCCGACCCGTAACATTATCTCAGATAACTTGTTCGTCACTCGCCAAAAGCCGTCACCAGAGAGCACTGTAAATAAAGTGCATATTTTGAAGCCTCGTCAACTTCTATCCGGAGGCCTTCAACATGAGGACACTTTTATTACATACATCTGTGTGGTGAACAGCAGACGCGGTGGACCCCATAGTCACGAAAACCCGCTGCTCCGTCATGGAAACCGGTAACCTGAGCCCCCGGACTTAGATTGGCGAATCACATGAGGCCCCATTAGATACAGGTGGGTCAACAAGCGTGTGAAAACTGGTGGGCCAAAGTAGCTAGTGAAATGGAGGTAGCTTTTGCATCAGGGAACAGTCTAAGGCTGTTTCACATGATATGCAGTATCGGAGGTCATCGCATACCGGTCAGCGATAAAAGAGAACAGAGTATACACAATAAAGGAACGCGGACTTGACCGATGGGCAGACTATTTTATTGAACAGTTTCATTGGCCTAGTGCTAATGAGTTCATTTCAGCAACTGCAGCGGAAGCCCCAGGGGTGGTAACATGTCAACCCCCGTCAGAATTAGAAGTACAAAGCTGTATTCAATCATTAAGGAATGAGAAAGCTGCGGGACCTGATGGGCTTTGTGGGTCAGACTATTGGTTCGAAGGCTCCGGTTAGGGTTCCCAAAGAAAAACTCCGCCGATGGGCTACCGCGAAGTATGCTGTCGCCCAAAGGCTTAGGTACCCATTTGAAAAACTATTTCTATCATCCGTCCACATCCTCTTCTCACTCCCACACCGTCAATATCAAGGATTTTAATACTTTTGGAGCCGGATTCCGCTGGCCTAACTCAGATGGTTTTCGCAGTTTGAGGTGTCCAGTGGGCATACTTGTCACCCGGGCCACTGGAGGGGCTAAGGGGCGTGTCGCTCCTCGGGAACGTAGCATGATTAGCAAGACCATTCAGGTGGTAATCCATAATACAGGTACAGGAGTTTACTTAGGTTCTTACAACCATTAACCATGCACTTTCGTACGCCGGTTTTGGTTGCTTTTTTGGTGCTGGTTTCAACCTTCCTGTTTTCCTCCTGTTGCTAATCCAAATGGGCAGCCAAAAGACTGCAACCAAAAACGATGCACGGAAGTGCATGCTTAATGTTTGTTCCAACTGAACTGAACTGAACTTTTGGTTGCCCATTTGGACTAAAGAGCAGAGTGAAGATTAGAATGTTGAGAGTAAACTCAAGCGGAAGTTTGCGAATTTATGTAGACTGATGTTAGGAGAATGAGTAGATGCACTGTTTGCGACACTCAGCCAGATCACTAAGTGTCTCTGACCATCACCTCGGGGTCAACAGCTGATGCAATATTGCGGGCAACCGCTTTCGGCGGCTTTTCTGCGGTTGTTTATCAGACGTAGGGAG